GAAAACCAGAATGCGGGGCAAGGTGCGAGAGGGAAGCGCAGGGGAGAGAAGGAATGGCATGGAGAGGTAGAGTGGGACTGGAAAACCAGAATGCGGGGCAAGGCGTGAGAGGGAAGCGTAGGGGAGAGAAGGAATGGCAGGGAGAGGTAGAGTGGGACTGGAAAACCAGAATGCGGGGCAAGGTGCGAGAGGGAAGCGCAGGGGAGAGAAGGAATGGCAGGGAGAGGAAGAGTGGGACCGGAAAACCAGAATGCGGGGCAAGGCGTGAGAGGGAAGCGTAGGGGAGAGAAGGAATGGCATGGAGAGGTAGAGTGGGACTGGAAAACCAGAATGCGGGGCAAGGTGCAAGAGGGAAGCGCAGGGGAGAGAAGGAATGGCAGGGAGAGGAAGAGTGGGACTGGAAAACCAGAATGCGGGGCAAGGTGCGAGAGGGAAGCGCAGGGGAGAGAAGGAATGGCATGGAGAGGTAGAGTGGGACTGGAAAACCAGAATGCGGGGCAAGGCGTGAGAGGGAAGCGTAGGGGAGAGAAGGAATGGCAGGGAGAGGTAGAGTGGGACTGGAAAACCAGAATGCGGGGCAAGGTGCGAGAGGGAAGCGCAGGGGAGAGAAGGAATGGCAGGGAGAGGAAGAGTGGGACTGGAAAACCAGAAAGCGGGGCAAGGCGTGAGAGGGAAGCGTAGGGGAGAGAAGGAATGGCATGGAGAGGTAGAGTGGGACTGGAAAACCAGAATGCGGGGCAAGGTGCGAGAGGGAAGCGCAGGGGAGAGAAGGAATGGCAGGGAGAGGAAGAGTGGGACTGGAAAACCAGAAAGCGGGGCAAGGCGTGAGAGGGAAGCGTAGGGGAGAGAAGGAATGGCATGGAGAGGTAGAGTGGGACTGGAAAACCAGAATGCGGGGCAAGGTGCGAGAGGGAAGCGCAGGGGAGAGAAGGAATGGCAGGGAGAGGAAGAGTGGGACTGGAAAACCAGAATGCGGGGCAAGGCGTGAGAGGGAAGCGTAGGGGAGAGAAGGAATGGCATGGAGAGGTAGAGTGGGACTGGAAAACCAGAATGCGGGGCAAGGTGCGAGAGGGAAGCGCAGGGGAGAGAAGGAATGGCAGGGAGAGGAAGAGTGGGACTGGAAAACCAGAATGCGGGGCAAGGCATGAGAGGGAAGCGTAGGGGAGAGAAGGAATGGCATGGAGAGGTAGAGTGGGACTGGAAAACCAGAATGCGGGGCAAGGCGTGAGAGGGAAGCGTAGGGGAGAGAAGGAATGGCAGGGAGAGGTAGAGTGGGACTGGAAAACCAGAATGCGGGGCAAGGCGCGTGAGGGAAGCGCAGGGGAGAGAAGGAATGGCAGGGAGAGGTAGAGTGGGAGTGGAAAACCAGAATGCGGGGCAAGGCGCGTGAGGGAAGCGCAGGGGAGAGACGGAATGGCAGGGAGAGGTAGAGTGGGACTGGAAAACCAGAATGCGGGGCAAGGCGCGAGAGGGAAGCGCAGGGGAGAGAAGGAATGGCAGGGAGAGGTAGAGTGGGACTGGAAAACCAGAATGCGGGGCCCGGCGCGTGAGGGAAGCGCATGGGAGAGAAGGAATGGCAGGGAGATTGTGGTATAGCAGAATGGGGAGCAGGGACATAGTGGGTGTGCTGGAAAAAATTAAGGACGGCCAGGGAGGGGCAGGGAAAGGCGGGCATGGCAGAATGGGGAGCAGGGAGAGAGGGGGTGTGCTGGAATATTTATGAACGGTCAGGGATAGGTGCAAAGTAGAATGGGGAGGCACTCACTTGCACGTCGTTCCAAAAATTGCCGGTTTCGGGGGCGTCATACACCCTCACGCCCCTCACTCTCTTTCTATGCGCACGTGTAACAAGCGGATGGCTAAGTCTTGGTTCACTCAACAAATCTTGTAGGGCCTGTAAATGTTTAGCCATGTGGGAATGAGGGATTAGTGGGGCGCTGAAAAAAACATGAGCAAACACTCCAACATACCTTCAAGGTGTCACAGTACCAAAAGTTCAAGAATGCCTTTGTTCCAACGCGAGTGACCCCCTTCTTCCACGAACGGTCACAGTCAGCCACTCTCGATTGCACATGTCGGTACACATCTCGCGAAGATCTCCATTCCGCAACGTCATCCCACGATGCGCCTTCATGGCTAAGAATCTTAAATAATTTAGCTACCGAACGTTGAGATACACGCTCTTGGAGAATCCAGCGTGCCAATTCATCCTTGAAGGAGAATGGAGCTGCGGGGCGCGGATTAGATCCGTTGGGAATATGAGAAACTTCGTCGATCCCACTCGAGTCACTCATGCGTGCCATGAATGCCTCGGGATCATCGGCGGCACGAGCGGCTGCCGCATCTACACCGTCCTCATCGGCTGGCTCATCAAACGTAGGTGGTACGAATACGTTTTCACTGCTGGAAGGACTCCACACGCGCCGACGTTGAGCGGGAGGTTGGATTGGTGGGGAATCTGACGCCTCTGCGCCTCTGGATGCAGCAGCTATTCTGCAAGCCGCACTACCTCTATGCGATTCTAGAGCAGAATACACGTAGAAAGGCCCCGAACTACAGTCTGGGCATTCCATAGTGGCGGATGCAGGACTAATTTCTGTGTATTGAAGGCAAAAAGAAAAACAAAGCATGAGTGATTTGCATCAATATTATACTCCCCTGGTTGAGATGATGTGAAGCGTGTGAACACTTTAGTTGTCGTGAGATGTAGTGCTGAGATTCAGGTTCAAGTCGAAGGGGTGTGCATTAGGGCGCGTCATTCTAGTATCATTCTCAATCGATACCCATCTCAACCGAATTGTTTGTTTATTAAAGCGTTTACAATTGTGCAGCGTCGTATTGCACTGCATTCCCCCGAAGAAAAAGGACGGGCACTTACGAGCCGCGCATTTCACTCACACATGTCAAATCGCATCGTGAATTTTACACTTCGCGAATTTTGAACTTCGAGTGACGTTGCGACATTCCCGTTAGCCAATACGGTCGTTCAAAATATTGGCCAGCGAAAAAGTGCTGTTTGGAGAACCGAATTGGATGCGACCAATAGGAAGAAACCACGCACTCCCAAAAAATATCACAGTGCGTTTTGACTTCGTATGACCAAGGCGTCACGAGATTTCAAGAACCGTGACATACACCTGCTTGCGACACAAAATCTTCCCGCACGAAGATGCCACGTTTTCTGCTTGCAAACACGGGGGTTTCGCCCAATAAATTTTACAGTCAATGACTAGTTCCGATTACAACGACAACATCACGCCAAATCAAAATCGATCTCAACCGCACGAAAAAAAGTTGGAGTTTGGGCCGTTGATGTGAAATGTAACGGAGCGCGACACGATATCCTACGCTGCCACGGCTGATTCCCTGCCAAACACAAGTGAAAAACAGCCATAACACAACCAAAAACGAGCATTTGCCACATCAGCCTGTGGATAGAAATTAACACCCCCTCCCCAAAGCCTGTGATAATCGAAATATTGCCACCACCGTTAACAGACGGTTCGGCATTTTTGAGATGAATGATGCGTCCCTTGTCGTCCATTGCCATCGTGGTGCGACGAGTACTATACTCAACAAGTACTACAAAAAGCTCTGTCAACTGTGCGCAACTAGTAGTATGGATTCTGAGCGTCAATAGAAGCCGAGCCGAGTGATGCGTCCCGCGGCGTCCGTTGCCATCGATGGTGCAGCGACCTTCCAGTAAAGCCTAGATTAGTAATTTTGACCGGCGCTTGTGAAAGCTGTGTGCTAGCTGTTATTCTAAGCGTCAATAGTAGAAACGCGAATTAAAACTAAGAAACTACTACTGTTACCCGGAGTGCCGACGTAAGTTGATGAGGAATCTGGGAAAAGCTAAGTAATGAAGCTACAAAAGAGAGTGGCGGGAGGTGGTAAGTGGGAGATGAAGTCCCACTTTCTTGCCACTTTCTTATCTTCGTGGCTGCGACAGGCCAACATCGCTGACACTCGTCGAATTCGGGAGCTGCGACCTTCCATTCAACCGTGGAGTGTGGATCTCGATATGCGATTGTTTCGTCAAGTTACCCTGCTGTCGCAAATTCCAAGGTGACAAAGTTTCGATGGTGGCGTGGCCTTCCAGCAGGGCATGTCGAGCACCCAAAAATCGCGCCAGGTCTGCGAGTCAGACGAATCAGGACAGCGGCTGACCCTGTTTGACGAACACCGACCTCTTCATTTTCTCTCGCAATAACGGAACCAAACGCAACCCCAATGAGCACTACATAGATAATACCTCCCAGCATACAAAGAGCAAGTAACATATTTGAAAAGGTTATTATGGCACGGCACTAGCGACCCTACCTGGCGACCTGGCAGCATAGCGAGATAGCAAACTAGCTGTCAGCCCGCGGTCTAGCCGCTCAGCCCGCGACCTACCTTATCGCAATCTAGAATCGTCGAGTGGTCTAGTAGAGTTGACAGTGCAGAGTTTCATCGTGCCAAATTTACTAGCCTTTGACGGCACGATGCCGCCACTAACGTGATGCTCAAACATCTAATTCTACTCTCGCAAGATCCGCTTTAAATAGGAAAGGTCACTGTCGCACCTCCTCCTCCTCCCCATCCTTCGTCTTCCTCCTCACCATCCCGCAATCCCCCTGTGACGACGCCTCAGCCACCGTCGCGAGAAGCTTGAATGCACAATTGACAGCAGGAGGCATCAGAGAGAGAAACAGCAGATAGGTTTTGTCTCCCGCCCTCCCTCCCGCGGCGTCCTGCCAACCTTCCTGCTGTTTAAAAATGGCCATGATTCCTTTCTCGAAACTTCCGCAGCTGCCTGTGAGGTCATGAAGGCTAGCGTGTCAGGAGGAACGTCTTTTTTTCCCCAGTCATCTGGATACGGTATGAGCTGAGTCGCACTAGTTCTGTTGCCCGCCATCCCTAATGCCTGGCGACGGCAAATCGAGCGAGTGCCACGCAGTCGGTAGCAGAAATCCCGAGCACAGCGTGGATTGCGAGAGGCGGCATTGGCGCATCAAATGGTCATCAACAGAATCGTCAACTTGCCGCTTTTGAGAGTTTTCTACATCACCACTGTCTTCGATGCCGTTCGGAGGATTGCCTTTTTCTCTCTGCTCCTCTCCCCATGCGCTTCCCCCCCTCCTCCTCCCATTTACCGCCAACTCCCTTTCCCCCCCCATGCCCGTATTCCCCCCTGCCTCCTTTCTCCCGATTCCCACATCCCCCATTCCCCCATCTCACATCTGCTCAGACTGGACTGTGCCTCTCGCCCCTTTCCTCGCATCTGACTCCTCCCATCCACATCTGTCCAACACCGCTAACATATGTTTTCTCCTTTAAACCCGCCACCCCCTCCGCCCTCCATCCCCCCTCCCCTTCCCTCGCAGTGGCCCTCGCTCACCACATGCCACTGCAGGTGGAGTGGGGCTGCTCGAAAAAACCCTCCCACCATATACCTAACTCCCCATGCCTGTAATCCCATGCATATCTCCCCTTGTTCCCGCGTCTCCCATCCACTGCAGTGGACCTGGCAGTGGCCCTCGCCCGCCACATGCCGCTGCAGCCTGCAGGTGGGGCTGCTCGTCTCTGCCTTCCTCCCTCCACCTCTCGCTCCCCGCTCCCCCCCCTTTCCCCCATCTCCCCACCCCCCGTCCCCCCTCTTTCCTCCCCAGTGAACCTGGCAGTGGCCCTCGCCCGCCACATGCGGCTGCAGGTGGGCTGCTGGACGCCGGTGTGTTGGGCCCCTCACTGCCCAACATGCTCGGCTTGCACACCGTCGTCCGCCCCCTGATCGCTGGGCCTACAGACTGCTGGCCGCCCCCTTGCTCGCCTCGCCCTCCCCCCCATGCGCCTATGTTGCTGCTGTAGACGCACGGCGTGCTCTGCATGTCCATGGGCTTCCTCATGTTGCCGTTCCTCATGCCTGCTCACGTGTGGCGCGGGCCCATGGTGATGGCGGCGGTGGAGAAGCTTGTAAGGGGGACGGACGGAGTGGGGGACGTGCTGGTGGTGGACGTGCCGCTTGGCACGGGCGACATGCAGCTCAGGTTGAGCCAGCAGGCTCGGCTTTCAGGTGCATGGCAGACGGTTTATATGGGCTGGGAAGGAGGTTAACGGAGGGGAGAGGAGGACAAAGGGATGGGATGGGAGAGGAAGGGAGGGGAGGGGAGGGGAGGGGAGGGGAGGGGAGAGGAGGGGAGGGGAGGGGAGGAAGGAGAGGGGAGGGGAGGGGGGGGGAGGGAATGCGATGGGATGGGATGGGATGGGATGATATGGGATGGTATGGGATGAGATGGGATGTGATGGGATGGGAGGAAGGTGCAGCTTCTATATGCCACAGTGCCTGCCCATGCTCCCAGCGCTGCTGGTGATGTCCACACACCTCCTTCCCTCTCCCACCTGCACCCTCTTTTCCCCTTCCCCTGTCCACTCTCCCCTCTTCCCTCCCCGCTCTCCCCTGTCCCCTCTCCCCTCTTCCGTCTCTCCTCTCCCCTCACACCGTGCCACTGTGCCCCAGATCACCCCAGGGGGCGTGGTGTGCCACGGATGCCAGCAGTGAAGGACTTCACAGCTACCAGGCTGAGCTGGCCTGCGTGATTCAAAGCACCAACGTGGGGTGTGATGCCATCAGAGGGAGCAAAGGCGGCAGTGGGAGTGGGAGGGCAGTGCAGGGTGCCCTGCATGGCAGCCGGGGTTTGCGCAGGAGATGCTGCTCGCCCTCGCTGCTTACATCTGGTCGGTCACACACACATGCCAATCCATCCAATCTCAGCCCGCTTTCCTCATTTCTTCTTATTCCATGAGCTGCAGAAGCTGAGGGGTTGTTTCTCTCCCCTCCCTCCCTCTTGCCCTCCCTCCTTTCCTCCATACCTCCCTCCTTCCTCCCTCCTGCCTTCCTCCCTCCCTCCCTCTCTCTCCTGTTGGAATAGGCTGCATCAGGCTTTGGTCTTTGGCTTTTAGTGAGTTTTGTTTTCTGTTGGGTTGGGTGTTGACTTTTTATCCCCAACCTATCCAATCTGATCCAAATATATCCATCCAAAATCGTCTTGATTTGGATGGATTCCCTCCTGATTACACCTTATCCACCCAACCCCTCCTAGTCCATGTAAGTCCATCCATCTTTCTTTCTAATCGACCGATTCGAATCTCCCGCTTTAGTTTGTCATTTGCGCAGTTTAAATCACAATAACGCACGCATTTGTCTTTTGCGCACAGCCAATTAACTTGTCCTATGCTCCTCTCCCCCTCCCCCCCTCCGTCCCTCCCTCCATCCCTCCCTCCCTTCCTCCCTCACTCCCTCTCTCCTTCCTCCCTCCCTCCCGCCCTCCCTCCCTCCATCCCTCCCTCCCTCCCTCCCTCCCTCCTTCCTTCCCTCCCTCTCTTCCTCCCTCCCTCTCCCTCATGCCACCCGTGCCTTCTCTCTCCCGCCTCCCTTTCTCATCCCCCCGTGCTCCCCAGGGAGCGTGCAAGGCACTGCAGGTGCACGACTGGACTATCCTTCCCCACCATGCTGGAAGTGAGGCGTTGAGGTGGAAGTGAGGCGTTGAGGTGGAAGTGAGGCGTTGAGGTGGAAGTGAGGCGTTGAGGTGGGGGTGAGGCATTGAGGTGGGGGTGAGGCTCAGAGGTGGGGGTGAGGCGCAGAGGTGGGGGTGAGGCTCAGAGGTGGGGGTGAGGCGCAGAGGTGGGGGTGAGGCTCAGAGGTGGGGGTGAGGCGCAGAGGTGGGGGTGAGGCACGTGGCTTCTAATGGTGCGTCTGTTAGGTGTTTGTCCTGGTGGAGGCTCGGATTCCTCATGCTCTGCTCTGCCATGCTCTGCCTTCCTTCCATGCCATATGGCTTATTGAAAATTTCTCGTGTAACTCTCATACCCAAGCGCCTGCTCGTTCATTCCCACCCTGCATTGCTCCTTCTAAGTACCCATCTGTCACACCCCCGCCATAAGTTTCTCCGCGCCCCCTCTGCACATGATCTGCTCAATACTCACTCTCCACTCTTCTCTCCTCACATCCAATTGCCATCACTCTGAAGAGAGCATTAGGCAGCATGTGCCCTTGAAATCCTTGTATCTGTCCGTCTCCTCTTAACCCCTGTGTGCCAGGCAAAGGCAGGGGTTCACATACTACTGTTTGGTGGTGATACTGCCACATGCAGCCTCGTTGATGCCAACAGTGCTTCTTCGATGGATTTCACTGGTGCTTCAAGGGAGGGCAGTTGTTTTTCAATGGAAGAGTCTGCTTGTGTGGAGGCACAGAATGAATTGACAGCATGCGATGCGGAAGCTGCCATCGCGGAATACAAGCCCCACATTGTGATCGCATGCTGGATGGTGAGTGCGCCTCCACCTGCCTATGTTCCCAGTTTCCACCGGAAATCAAAGGCCGTACAATCAATTAGGCTCTCCTCAAGAGCCACCTTGATCTGATCCCTTGGTCTTCGACTATCTTCACGCATCTCCTGTCTCGTGCTTCTTGCCATGCTTCTGCTTCACACTTCCGCTCTCAGTCAACCCAGCAATCCAACTGAACATGTTGTCCTCGATCCCCTCTTTTCTCGTGTCTATGATTTTCATTATTCTCTTCATCTCTTTTCCCAACGTCATGCGCGTCCTTGTCCTTGTAACCCCTCTCTCTCCTCCTACCCATTTCTTCCCCCATCCCATGCGCTTCCGCTCATTGGACTGCAGCCAGTAGGGCGTGAGAGAGGAAGGCGGCATTTGTGGTCATCACCTGCTGACGTGGCGCTTCCCATGGCTTGCTGATGTGGCAATGGGGTGGCAGGCTGAAATGGAGAAGAGAGATGTCGAAGAGGAGACGAAAGCAGAGTAAGGGGAGAGAGTAGTGGAGGAAGGGGAGGAAGAGGAAGAAGGGGAGGATGAGGGGGAAGAGGAGGGAGAGAAGGACAAGGGGGAAGAGGATGGAGAGGAGGAGGACGAGGAGTGGAAGCAGGATGACAATGAAGTGGATAAGGTGGAAGGGCAGTGCACCTTGAGCAATTGAGCCCGAGAATCAGGGGGAACAAGACGAGGAGCACAGTGACAGGGGCGGGAATGTACAGGTGACAAGTGAGCAAGGGGGAAATAAGCACACTAGAAATCCGCAGCCAAACTGAGGAGAGTATGCGAAGCAGACGAATGGTGCTGAGAATGGGAAGGCAGTGGAGGGAGGTGGGGATGGGTGGTAGCGAGTGGAGTGTGCTTGGATCGGCCGGTGGGGTAGGGTGGTCGGACGAGCGCTGGAGCTGCACCCAGCACTCGTGCACTGTGGCGTTCAGACGATGTGTTGTGGAAAGACGAGGAGGCAGCAAGGCCGTGCAGTGTGCTGTGATGCACTGCAATATGATGCAGTGCAGTGCAGTGCCAAGCAGAGTTTAGGGTGCACATCACCGAAGGCTGTTGGAGAGTGAGCATATCACTAGAGCAATTTCGCACCAAGTGTGGGTGGGCTTTCTTCCCACTCTGTTATCCCAATTTCAGTGGTGGTTGTACCTAATTGTCCCTTACTACCAGGTCTTTGAGCCGATGTTTTCTTGTTACAGTGCACTTGGCATTGGCATCATCAACAAAGCATACCGTATTCTCCCGGATAAAACACGCCCCCGTAATTGTACACCCCCGGGTAGCTAATACGGGGTGGGTGTTATATCCGACTCCGTTAGTACTGTACCCCCCCTTTTGGGGTGATCTATAACACCCCCTTTTTCTTATAGATTCCTATTATAGCTGTTATTGAGTCCGATTCCTTGCGGGGGGATATCGCGAGAATTGCTCCCTAGATGAAATTTTGCATGTACTTTCACTTACCGTAGAACAGGCCCTCAGATTCATTTTTAGCCTGTCTGATTCGTCAGACTCTCTCACAGTTGAAGCCTGAATATGACAGAGTTGCAAAAAAAAAAAGGCTGAAAATTCAGAGTGTCCTAAAAAAAAGTCTGATAAATTCAGAATCACGACCTATATCAAGTCTGATTGTCCTTCTAGATGTCTTGCTCAACTATTGGGCTTGTTTGAACTATTTGATGTACATTGCAAAAGCCTACATTCATAAATGCTACTTGCTTTGCTTAGCCAGAGCTAGAACTACCCTATATACATGCATCCTAGCACTACAACCTACTAGACTCCTACTCATTAAATCCATCATCATCATCACTGTCAAGTGCATCCTGCTCCTCTTCTAGGTCAACTACTTCCATCTCGTCATCTGCTTCCCTGCCCCTGTTGTGTTGCTTTCCTGCAAGCGGGAGTGGAGCGTTGCTCTGGGGCTTTCGCTTCTTGTAGCTCCTCCACACGGTCGCAATCTCATCCCAGTCGGGGGCGTAATCCATCAAGCTCATGCACATCAGGTCCCCCAGGCGCGCATCCTTAAGCGCGCCCCTCTTCCACGACTTTATGATGTTCTGGCGGGAGAACCCCCGCTCGCACTCCACGGTGCTCAGTGGCAGAACAGCGACCGCCACCCACAGGAGCACCAAATTGGGGTAGTTTTCCCGCCAGTCAGAAGTCTTGAGCATGGCAGTGAGGCCCGCGTGAAAACTGCGCTCGCCCTTGGTAGACGCTGCAAGCACCGAAGTGAACATGCGCAGCTCCTTCTCTGCGCGGCGCTTGTCAATTCATGACAGGATGGGAAGTAAAACAGGAGCAAGCTCAGAACCCAACTTCAAACAGTCTTTGAAGCCTCACATGCAATACAAGCGATGCATCTGGATAGCCTGACACCCAAACCAAGCTCCTTTATGGCTTACCTAGCAGGATCTCATCGGTCTTGTCGGCTCTGAACAGCGTGACTAGCGACTTCAGCCACTCGAGGCACCTGCGGTTCCTCTCTCCTCGCTCCAGCGGGTACTCGTCGGGGGTAAAGAGCCTTGCGCCGGACATCCCGTTCAGGTCGCCAAGCCGGTGCTCAAGTTGGTGCACGATCACTTCGGCGAACTCCGTGCACACCTCCATGCAGCCATCGTGTGTGCCGGGCCCTTCGAACTCCTCCAGCTCGTCCTCGTGCAGCACAAATTTGAAGCGTGCTGGTCGGCCGTCCGAATCAACCCCTTCAACCTTCACCTCCCGCTTTCCTCCAGGCCCATGGCGCGCGATGAAGGGGGACAGCAGCTCGCTGACGCCGCCACCGAAGTCGTCTCCGTAGTCGACGTAGCGGCTCTCGATGTGGGATGTTGTACGCTTGATCTGCGCATGCACGCTGGCATAATCAGGAAAGAAACACGTGGAAAGGTGGTTAGTGACTGAAGGTATGAACAAACTAATCATGCATTAGCACAAACACTAAACAACAAGAAACATCACTCCAGAGCTCACCTCCTTGTGCTGGAAGGCTCTGTTGAGGATGTTCAGCTGCTCAAGCACATCTGCAATGAAAAACGGGAGGAAATGAAACCTGTAGCTCGTCACCAGCGCATAGAGCGTCGCGTCCCACTCCTTCAACATCACGATGAGAGCCGGAAGGACGGCGACGAGTCTGAGCACCGCGTCGCCCCGCGAAAGCCAACGGACTGCATGGATCCCTTGCAGCTCCAGCGAGGTGGAGGTGAAGACTTCCTGCAGCCCCATGAACCGCTGATGCCATGGCCCACTTCGACCGAGATGCTCAG